TGTGTGTGTGTGTGTGTGTGTGTGTGTGTGTGTGTGTGTGTGTGTGTGTGTGTGTGAGAGAGAGCTTTTCTGTGTGGGAGGTCTTTCCTGGATGTGACAGGAGTTGCCCACTGGAGCTTCTGGCAACTGACAGAGCGCTGCAGGGCCTGTCTTGCCCACGAGCGGAAAGTTACCGCCGGCAAAACAAATCAAACACTACCCCCACCCTCATTTTATTTTCCCTCTACCAAACCCATGTCATATTTTTTTTCTTTTTTTTTTTTAAATGAGAGGCCAGGACATCCTGCCCAAAGGCCTTTTACAATTAACAGCAATTAATTAAAGCCATGCACAGCAGATCAATGAGAAAACCCTCAAGATTTTAGCCCGTCTGGCTTTCTTTTGCTTTTGTTTTATTATCCAGTTTTTCTAGGTTCAGGAACTTTTTTTTCCAGCTTAGCTTTAATTGCAAAAGTGTGAAGATGATGGTTTCATTTTTAGATAAAATGTAAAAAAAAGAAACACGTCTTTTCTTTGAAACACTCGATATAATTTGCACAGTTTTAAGGACAAAACTATAACTCCTGAACTGTGACTTTTGGGTTTTAAATCTTCCATTCAGTTAAAATATGACCTTCGTGAGTGTTTTTTCACTCCAGAGTGAGCAACTTCAGACTGAAGCCTGTTAAATAACGTAAAGCGAAAAAATGTTAAATTCTRTAAGGCTCTTTGAACATATTTGCCACCAGGTCATTTCTGAATCAAATAAAAAAAAGAAGGTTAAAAACTGTGTTCAAGGTAAATAAAGAGGCCTCAACACATTCAGCCAAAATCATCATCATTAACATTCTTGCCTTGCTGCCAACTCTAATATTTTATCCATTACTTTGTCTGACAAGTTTATATGAACAGCAGATAAGTCCCGCTGACCCCAATACAAAGACCAACTGGAAATTATGGATTTTCTCACACTGGTTAAAGATAATTTTTATTTTTATGAGGGTGAAGATCACCATAAAATAAAATAAAATTGAAAATACTATATATATATATTCGCCTTCCTTTTAGAGCAATCACCTTGTATAGCAGATGATGATAAAATATTACAAGTACATCATGTAAAAGTGGGCTTAGTGAAAAAAAAGTTGCACAAAACTTTACATAAATGACTTACACATAAATGAAGCATTTTTCCTGTAAAAATAATTAATATCTAACACCATTCATTATGAACAAATACATATATTCTTATATTTATTTGTTGCACTGCAACTTCTTAACCRATTGTGGCTGTCCTCCACTACTTACTGTCTAATTTAAATATGAGAGCCTTTACTTCTTTGGAGGCAGCAGCTGCATTTTGCTCATCTGTTCTGAAGAATCCCCAACTTTTAACCCCTGCTCGCTAACCGCAGACACGGCCGCACAGATTTTCTGAATAATAACTTCCCAAGCCTCGTTTGAACGCAGAAAACAAATCAAATTATAAGACGGAAAAAAACAAAGCCAAACTCAGAGAAGCATTCAGAGGGTGAGAATGAAAAGAAAGTTGCTGTACCTTCTAGCTTCATGCCGACAGTGAGGCACTTTTGGAAGCGGCAGTACGGGCAGCGCTTTCTCTGGGTCTTGTCAATCTGGCAGCTCTGGTTCTCTATACATGTGTAACGCTTGTTGTTCTGGACGGTGCGCTTGAAGAAGCCCTGCGGAGAGAACCAATTAAGACGTCAACCTGCTTGACCCCTGCAATGCAATGGTAATTGGCCCATTCACACTCCCAGACAGATGGAGAGGGACAGGCCTAATGGACCCCCCCCCCCCACTCCACTCCACACACACACAA